ACGGGATTTTCTGTCATGTGCTATTGCCTATGAAAGTGATTCATCTTATGAGTTATCTCGTTCTGTTTTAGACCCTCCTTTTCTTTTCTTTTCTTCTTCTTTTGTTTTACAAATACTGAATAGAAGTAAAATGAATAAGTAAATAAATTGCTTTAGATGCCTTTTCCCTGTACTATCTGTTGTAGTTTTGTAGTTCTTTCAGGCATCACAATGGCAAAGCTGTTATTTTAGACCAAACTTCAATTTTAACTGACCAGTCTCCAGGGGTACATATTTCATCGATGCTGCCTTGAGAAGGCAATAACCTCTCTCCCATAACTTTTGTGCTACTCTCCTTAACAATCTTCCACCTGATCTCCTTTGTTTTGAATTCTTAATCCTAAAGCCCCATTTAAGAAGGGGGAAATTTTTTCAAAACCTGATTCACCGAGTGCTCAGATCTCATTGGAACCTTTTTGCTTCATGATAAATTGTGAATGTCTTATGATTAGCATTTTTTATTTGAGCGCAAATAATTTATTTTTTATTTAAAATAATGAGCTTTATAGATTGCCATTTCTTGACTGTGAGAGTGAGAAAGAGCGCTAGATGCTGGGGGCTGAAACTTGTAATCTCCTGTTTTCGCTTAGTGAATTATTTCGCCAGATCTTCGCCATTGACGTAGGCTTGCTTTAAGCCAAACCACGTAAATCTTTGTGTCTTGTGTGATTCTTGTTTTTTATCGTGTTTCATGATTGTTGCTTGGTTCATGGTTGTTTGTCGTAAAATAGACCTTTTGCAAATTTCTACTGTCATAAAGTAAAGATTTACTTGGGTTTTTCTGTAGTCGAGTTCATAGGATTACCTATTTGATAAAGGCAAAAGTTGTTTCAACTTTGACTATCGGGACTATTGTAGACCTATATGGCCCATGACCACCACTTAAGCCTATGTTTAACAAACTTAAAAATTACCAAGAAGTAAATTAATCTATGGAAACATAAAATGAAGACTCAAGTTATACCAATACATGATTACTTAAGGTCCCAATTGCTCTTGGCATGAATTTAACTTGCCTTTTTCTTGTTCTCATTCTTGGCATTAGGTAGGTCAAGGCATCTCACCTGCCATTTGATTTATTTTTTTATTTTTTATTATTTTTTTTAAAAGCTATGGAGCCTATTTGAAAGGTAAGCAACTTAAGGAGAAAGTTACCTACTGAGAATTCTACTTCAGTAACATTACTCGTTTTGAATTCCATCCCTCTCATAATACAGTGGAACAAGCAAATTATGGGTTGTCATGGCTTTAAGTATTTGTTGTTTTAGACTAGTCAACTACCATAATTAAATAATTTAGAAAAGATAAACAATATTGCCTGATTGGTGGCAAAATTGGATGTTTGGATGGAAAAGTATGACCTCTTCCTTCTCTTTTATTTTTCCAAACCAAGAAACATAAATTAACTGGAGAAAAGTTTGGGAGGATTCAGCAATTATAAATGTGGCCGTTGGTTGAATTAATGCTTTGGTAAAATTTGTGAAGTTGTAAACTAACAAAAATTCAGTAACGTTAAAGGCATTCGGGAAAAAGCATTTACTATGAACTCTCCAAATCTGCTATTAGTATTTCTTTTTCCTTCTTCACTTGACCTCAGACTGGCCTGACCTGGATGTGTCCTCACAGTTGGCTGTACCCTGGTATTCAATTCCCCATCAATCCTTCTGTCTCTCTCTCTGTCTTTTTTATTTCTTTTCTTTTTCCTTCTTCTGTAAACTTTCTCTGTATATAGGAGTGAGGAGAACTCAGCATCGTCATAGTCATTATCATCAATCATCAATCCATTGTCATATGAGGGGACAATTCTGTCACTCCGTCTCTTTTCTCTCTCTCCTGCGTGTGGGGAGGGAAAGATTAGTTGAGTGATGTCAATTGGGGCAATATTTATGTCGTGTTTACGGAAGCGTGTGTTTGTGGTCGGGGTGGGGGTTGGGGTGGCAGTAGGCATCTGAGACGTCATCTGTCCAGCACGTGTCGGAGCTCTAAAAAAGGGAGGAATCTAACCAACTCGAACATTATTTCTCTATTGCCACCACCACTAGCAGTACTAGTACTTTTTCCCACAAGCTGGCTCTGACACGCGCACACACAGAGTAAAGAGTGGGCATCATTTTTGTCATCAAAATATCAAATGTTGTCTCCATCCAATTAATTAAGTGCAATTTTATTACTGTCATAGCTGATGATATAAATACATATGGCAACCTAAATCAACAGTGTTGAGACAAGCCCCCTCTTCTTCTTTGCTTCTTTTCTACTGCTTGGTTAGGTGTTACCTTAGCCCATCGTCTGACAAGGTATAGCCTCTGTCTTCCTTTTATCTTTATGTTTTTCGTTTCTCCATTTCCAATTTATTTTCATAATTAAAATTTTTCTCATTATTGTTTGATCTCTTGAATCTGTTTGAATGGCAACTCTATTTATCTCTGTGTGTGTGATCTCAGAAAGGAAATTTCTGTCAAGTTGCTATGGCCTCTGAAATTTATCTGCTTGCTCTTCTGTTCTTTAAAATCTCCTTCTTTTTTTTCCCCAGCTCTTCTGAGTATTCCAGTAATATAAATAAATAAATAAATAATCTACCAATAAAAAGATAATTTCAAAAGTTTTACTCACATCTATGTGTCTGACTTTTGTAGTTCTTTCTGGCGTCACGAAGGCCACACCATTATTTAGAAGGAAAAATAAACAACTAATATTGTTTTCATTTTTAAATGACTGCTCTTTTGGGGAAATCTTCAATGCATGTTGCTTTTAAAGGGAAAACTTTAATTTTACTCTCCTTGAAAATTGAACAGTCTCTTAGTTTCTCTTGCTTAATTCTAAATTAGTGATAAAGAAAGTTAATGCAAAAAAAAGAACAAAAAAGAGTAGAAAACCTGATTCACTCTGATCTGATTAGAACCTATTTGTTCCATGATAACTCCATGTCAATTTTTTATATGAAATAATGATCTTGATAGAATTACAGGCCCCTGGATTTTCAACCTTCATAAAGTAAACAATGGATCAATTATTACCTAGTATTTGGGCTTTTGTAATCTTACCGTGGGAATTTATGTGATTCAATGTCGTGAGGAAGCTACAATGGAAGGTTCAATGAGAGAAAGCTCAATGCATGGCTGATGTCACTACATGTGCAGAAAATCTCGAGCAGTAAGTTGGCTGTGAAATACTTACTGACAATGGCTTTGTCATGCGGTGTTACGCCCACCCATCCTTCACAGTCGAAAGAAAACATTTAGCTTTTGGTTTTGGTTTGGTTTGATGTCTGTTTGTTTTATACTATTTAAGAACAGTTTCTTTATTGTGAGCATCAAGAAATGTTATTTTAATTCAATGATATGGGAAAAATGATTTGCATCACCTGAATTTTATGTTCCTTAAGAGTGTGTAATCATGTGTAAGCTTCTATGGGAACATTGGAACTTGAGCTTCTTTTTTTTCTCCTGTGTATGGATACCACATCTTGAAGCGAAGTTGTAGTTTGTTCATGAAATAATGATTGATTGAAACCTTGCATGTCAAATTATTTGAAGCATTTGACGTTTCTCGAGCATAATGAAGATTATGTGTAAGAGATGGTTAAATAATTTATCTGTTCATTAATATTAGAACCTTATGTTTCAAATCCATAACCTACGAGTAGAAATGTAGAATCTCATTGATATTGAAAACACTGTGCTTCAAAATTCATTACCTGCAAGAACTATCTCAGTGGTTGTGAATAGGAAGTAGACCATCCTTTAGAAAATCTCTATATAATCAAAATAACATGCGCATCCTATTGTTGGTAGAAACTCAATATAATGAATCCCATTCCCATTACCATATTGGAAACAGTAATTTCAAAGTAAAGGCCCTAGGTGGACACTTGGTTGTCCCTTGTAATAAGTATGCCCAATCCCATCACTGTATCCAGGGACTTGTGTGATTACTCGAATGCAAATCCTTTAAATAATGACTGTGAAATAACCTTTTGGTTTTCTAAGATGAAAAAGGATATACCATTTATGCATGGAAGGTGGTCAAAAAATACATTTTGTTTAGATCTTGCAAAAATTCCGGCATCCTGAACTTTTTGGTTAAGTCACTTCTGAAACATAGGCATTGTTTTTAATTTGTAAAGGTGGTATAGACATCGCGCTTCATCATTTCATCTTAGCTGGAAGATTGGGTTCCTTTAAGCTTCTTAGTAAAATTTGCGAGAAAATGGAGGACATTTTGTCAGTACTCACATATTTCTTTGTGTTAGAAAAAGCTCTGGTTTAGGATAACATTTGGCTCTTTCAGCAGTTCAAATGTAGGGAAAATCAGTGGTTGGAAGATGATAAATAATGAAAAGATGAACTTACTGTTGTAGTGATTCACGATAGCTTTAGAAAACTTGGAGAATACCTTCTATGGTTTAGTTTTATGGTGGGCTAATGTTTTGTGATGGTGTAGGTTTATGACTTTAAAAACAGGGGAAGACAGATTGGAGGAGTTGTTGATAAAAGGGATGGAATGGGTTTGGTTTACAAGTGATGGACTGTAATAATTTCAGAAAATTGGTTTCGCTGAAAATTCTGTAGGATTGTGGATTAATTTATCAAAGCTCTTTAATTTGTTGATTTTTTTAAAAAACAGTAGATCTGAAGTGCATGTGATTGCAACCCATGCCATTGATTATAATTCTGCATCTTGAAACAGGAGAGTTTAGAAAGATTTATTATGTTAGTATGTACAGGAAATGCATTGATCATTGTAGGTGCTATGCATTCAAAACTAGATATGGTTTTTTATCTTATTTTTGAAATACATTACTTATAGTGCCTAATTTCTTCCATATGTAAAGTATGTATTGTGTCAGTGGTTGAACTCGGTGGACTATGGTTGAACTACTCTGTGTGAACCTGTGTTTTTTATGTTGTTGTAAACATTCTGGTTCTATTAGCATGGTGAAACTTATTTCTCAGTTTTAGCTTTTGATTTTTCAGGACCAAATTCTAGAGCACACAACTTTTGCAGTCCTTACTTTGTGAGGAGCAATAACCCTCGTGGAAGAAAGAAAGGTAAAAGCAAAAGGAAAAAGAATGTGATTGGTCAGTTTTGCAATTCTCTACCTTAGGACTGATTACCACCTATTTAGGGTTTCCGGATCCGTCTATAATAAAAATGGCTGCGAATCAAGTCTCCATTGATGTTCATGACCACGGTATGGCTCTTGATGGGCAAAGGGGGAGAGTTAAGTGCAATTATTGTGGTAAAGTTATGAGTGGCTTCACCCGCCTTCGTTACCATTTAGGACGCGTAAAGGGAGATGTATCTCCTTGTATGGAAGTTCATACAGATGTGATGGAACTAATGAGAAACAGGATACTTGAAACAAAACAAGGAAATTTGAGCAAGGAAGTTGGGGAGCTGTGTTTCCCAAATCTTCCTTGGAAGAGGAATTGCTCTCCTCACTCGAATGGTGATGGCAATAAATTGGAAACCACTCAAACAGCTGTATTTGGGTGCAAGAAACGTGCTAAGGTGAACTCTACATCAAAAAACAGTGATATGGCACCTACTTCTTTTTTCTGAGGGACAAACAGGTTCCCTAGCAGCCACCGATGGAATAGAAAGTTCATTGTCGCGTGAAGCTCAAAAATGCATTGGCAGATTCTTTTATGAATCTGGCATTGGTTTTAGTGTGGTGAAATCTCTTAGCTTCCAGAAAATGATTAACACCACCCTGGCTTGTGGTAAAGCTGGATGTAAGATCCCCACTTGTCAGGGATTAAAAGGTTGGATCCTTCAGGAAGAAGTAAAAGAAATGCAACACTATGTGACAGAGATCAGAGAGTCATGGACAAACACGGGGTGTAGTATAATACTGGACGGATGGATCGACGGGAAGGGTTGAATCCTGATCAATGTTCTGGTGGATTGCCCACAAGGACCTATTTATCTGCGGTCATTTGATGTTTCAGACTATGTTGGAAATGTTGATGCCTTCCAGTTGTTTCTTGATGAAGTTATTGGGGAGATTGGGGCTGAGAATGTGGTAGAAATTGTTACATATTCTGCATTAGCCTGGATGGAGGCTGCAGGTAAGTTATTTATGGAAAAACACTGGACAGTCTTTTGGACAGTCAGTGCATCTCATTGCATAGCACTGATGTTAGAGAAAATTGGAGCTATGGATATTATTGAAGGGGTATTGGATAATGCCAAAATCATTACAAAATTCATTTACAGTCATGCAGCAATTTTAAAGCTTCTAAGACATCATACTAATGGCTGTGTCCTAATTAAGCCTTCCAAGATTAGGTCAGCGATGCCCTTCTTGACTTTAGAGAATATTATGTCTCAGAAGGCGAACCTAAAAAAAATGTTTGTTTCTTCCAAGTGGAATAGCTCAATCTGCGCTTCTAGCATGGAGGGGGAAAGAGTAGCTAATTTAGTGGCGGGCAGCTCTTTCTGGTCTGGAGCCACTATGGTTTTGAAGGCAACTATCCCACTGGTGCGTGTTTTGGAATTAATCAATGAAAATGATAAGCCAAAACTATGTTATATATATGAAACAATGGATCAAGCTAAGGAAACAATTAAAGAGGGATTTAGAAAGAAGGAAGTGAAGTACATGCCGTTTTGGGAAATTATTGATGAGATTTGGAACCAGCATCTCCACAGTCCTCTTCATTGTGCTGGTTACTATTTGAACCCAGTTTATATATATTCAAGTGATTTCTTCATTGATAATGAGGTTTCCAGTGGCCTTTTGTGCTCCATTGTCTGTATGGTGGAAGATAAACATGTCCAAGATTTGATTTCGCTACAAATTGATGAGTATCGAATGGCTAAGGGTGCCTTTGGTCCAGGAAGTGCCATTGATCAGCGATTGAATGTTCCTCCAGGTTACAGAATATCTATTGTGTCCTCTGGATTGTTTGCATCTTTATCTATTTTGATTCATCTCTAAATTAAGATTTTGATTTTGCGTCCTCTAAAATTTGGCTGCAGCTGTTTGGTGGTCCAACTATGGAGGAGAATGTCCTGAGCTGCAGAGATTGGCCATTCGAGTTCTAAGCCAGACATGTGATGGTACTTCAAAATATGGGCTAAAGAGGACTTTGGCTGAGAAGCTCCTCACAAAAGGAAGGAATCGTATTGATCAAGAACGATTGACTGATCGTACATTTGTTCATTATAATATGCAGTTGCGGAACTTCAAGTTGGGTCTTAATGATGGCATTGTGATTGAAGAAATTGACCCTATGGATGATTGGATTGTGTCCCAGAGTGATGAAGGAACATGGATGGACGTGTACTGTGGAGATACAACCACCAGTGGAGGGGCTATTAATGGAGAAGGGCCTTCTACTTCTCATTCAGGACAGGAGCCGCCAAGTGAGTAGGTGTCTTGTTTAATGCTTTTTTAGTCATCCCAATGAGTTGGCTGGTCTTCATTGATAAGACAGAAAATGGGTGACAAGCCTATTTCAGTGATGTGACAGTGTTTGCGCTCAGCAACACCATGTTGCTATTTTGCTCTGTTTTTCTGCCAGACCAGAATCTTGACCTCCAATCGAGCTACGAGCAGGAGTAGGTAGGCGGCTAGGGGGGAGGGGCGGCCTTTTCAATCAATCTCCTGCCGCTCAGTGCCGCTATTGGTGCGAGTTGTGAGGAATCTTGGTCTCGAGTTGAGCTGGGGCATCATTTCATTCAAACAAAGTGGAAAAAAAGGAGAGGATGGCATCAGATGGAATGAAGACTTGAAACTAGTATTTCATAAGGTGGTACTCATTTGTTTAGCGTTTGTGTTTCTAAAATAATGCGACCATTTGTAACGGAGCTTGCAGACTTGTTCGTTTATTTGTGTTTTAAGAATTAAGAAAAAGTACTTTTGCATGAGGAGGTTTATATAAATTTCTTCTTGTGAAGAAATGTTCATGATAGAGAGGCATTCAAGGTTCAGATGATGTTCTGACCACCCATTTATTGTCTTAAATTCACAAAGGTAATCACAGTTTTTGTTTGGTTGGAAATATCTGTAGCTTTATTCTATTTCTTTTTTGGGTACTGATAGAATTGTTATTTTTAGATGGTAACAAATCTTGAATTACTCCTGCAGAATTGTGTCGAATAGCTTGTTTTGATCCAGAAGGATTGATTTTGATATGGAGGGAAAACCATTCTGGACACCACGAAGGGAAGCTAACGACGGTGAGCTGGAAACCCTCGGCAGCTGCAATTCGAGTGATGGAGTGGGACCTTCCTCCTCCTTTCATCCTCGTCGCCTTCTTCCTCAGTACAGACCAACTATGCTCTGGCCCTCTGGGTGTCAACCAGAGCACCATTCCTGTGTCTCAATGATGGGGCCCGTGTCTCAATGATGGGGTTGGGCTTACCTTGTGTCAATTTTATGTTCATTAATCATTTTAGAGTTTTGCTTATTATGTTTTATAGAATATATATTTTTTTTTATTATTGTAAGAATTTTGTAAATTGCTATTAATATTTACTCTTGTAATTTGTTTATGTTAATTAATATATATATCGTTGTGGCTTATATATTTTACGAAATAAATTTTGGTTACTATTTGAGGAAATAATTATTTTATTGATTTGTTGAATATTATTTGTTACTACAAAAATATTAGTAAATTGTAATAAAAAAATATTCTTAATTTTGATATTGTTTTAGGAGTTTGAAAATACATCTATCAAAAAGTGAATTTTTTTAATTTAAAAATTATCATTATTATCACTTTTACTTGTGTCAATTTTCTGTTCATTGATCATTTTATAATTTAGCTTATTATGTTCTGTAGAATGATTTTTGATTTATTATTTTAAAGATTTTGTAAATTGTTATCGTTATTTAATTTTGTAATCCGTTTATCTTAATTAATATATAAGTGTAATTATTTTAAAAAATCAAATTTAATTACTATTTGAGAAAATAATTTTTTAATTACTTTGTTGAATATTAAATTTAAATTAATCTTTATTCACATGCAACACACGTGCAGTTTTACCAATAAGTAATAAATTTTATTTCACAATAAGTTTTCTTGGAAGCACTATTTCGTAAAACTGCATGCTTTAGATTAAACAATGAATAAGTGATAAATATTGGAGTACTAATTTATTTATTTATTTATTTACGATGTATAAATTGTATTCTCTATAAAAAAAAAATGTCAGCACCATTAATAATTAATTAGTGCGTTGACTAAACATTAGTAGTGTTACGAGTAACATTAATATTTCATTAATGCATTGACGGATGACATTAATTTGTCAAATTATTAAAGTGTGAAGTAATTAATTAATGCGTTCACACTTGCTAACTAGTATTACTAGTAATTGTTACGATAACATTAATTTGCACAGATAGGTAATAATAAAAAATAGTTTCATTGCGATTTTTTATTTTTACTCGAAGCCCTGCACTCGTTTTGCACACTCAGGTGAATAGTAATTCTATTATTACTCAAGTGTATAAGTTTCTCTCACAAGCTTGTGCGTTTACTAATGACTCCTCACCCATTTTTAGGCATCTAGCTACATTATAGATATTTACAAATTTACAAAATTATACTTCACTAGAATCTTTCTAATATTTTAGAACATTTCAACACTCAGTATTTTATGATTCTCTACACAACTTCAAAAGATTTTAGAATTAGATCCTAGAACTGCACTATTCTCATGCTATGCCTCAGCACTTGCGTGTTACCTGTGTGGTGTAACCTTCTGCAATTACAAGAGATAAAATTAATTAACTTTATTTTAATATAATAATTCATTAGTTAAAATGAAAATTTCATGATGAACAAGTTTTCTTGAGAGTATTACTTTTTAAATATTAGAGTATTAGTTTTTTTGAACATCCAACGAATTATGTTCAAACTATATTGAATTTTTAAGACAAAGGGATCCAATTAATGAGTATTGCAAATTACAATTGTCGACGATCAGTGAAACATCTTACCACAATCTTATTGGTCATATTAACAAAAATGTTATCTACTTGCTAACTATTACTAGTATATTACTAGTATCATTAATAATTAATTAATAACAAAACACTATTTACCCGCTAACTATTATTCCCTCTGTCCCAAAAAGAATGTCTATTTTTTCTTTTTGGGTTGTCCCAAAATAATTGTCCACTTTCATTTTTCAAACAATATATTTTTCATCTTTCCATATATTTCTTTAAAGTTTAAAATTTAAAACTTGAATATTCATAACTTATTAAAAGAGCAAGTTAGTAGTAACTTTCTAGGGGACATTACATGATCCACATATCTCCTTAAAAAATTTTACTCCCCAATAAGAACATTGTTTTTAGGACAGAGGGAGTACTAGTATTAATTAATGCATTTACGGATGACATTAATTTGTCCATTTATTAGAGGTCTGTATAATAATCAAAAAAGCGTTTATGGATAACATTAATTTGTCCATTATTTAGACTGACATTGATTTGCCCATTTATTAGAGGGTCTGAATAATAATAAAAGATTATTTTTTTGTGATTTTTTATTTTTATTCTGACGAATTAGGGTGGGGAATTCGAACACGCCACGCATGGACCTAACATAGGCTCATGAATTTTTTTCCTTTTTGTTTATGTACCTAATAATTTTATTTTTTTGAATTATATAACTATAAAATGTAAAATTTGTCTTGAATTTTTTTTCACTATTGCCCCCAACATCTTTTGCTAAAATTTGCTATCTCTCACATACTTTGTTAGGTTTGTGTCTTAAGAGTTGAACACTTGAACGCTCTATCAATTAGGCCATTATAAAATGCCCATTTGGGATTTTGAAAGTTGGAAAGACAAAAAATGTATCCAAGAAAGAATTGAAACAAATAATAAAATGTCATTCTGTATAATAAAGTTTCACAAATCAAATTTCATGGTAATAATGGTATCCAATCTGTACATTGAGGCATGAGCTACCTTTTTATTTTTTTAAACTCCATCAGTTTGAAATTTGAATCCATTATCATAAGCTTTTACAAAGTTATTGTATTCTACATTTTTAGATATGACCGTGTCCACAATTTTAAAATAATTTTTATTATTATTGACACATCACGTAACATATTTGAGGAAATAATTATTTCATTGATTTGTTGAATATCATTTGTTACTACAAAAATATTAGTAAATTGTAATAAAAAAATATTCTTGATTTTGATATTATTTTAGGAGTTTGAAAATACACTTATCAATAATTGAATTTCTATTGAAAAGTTCAATTAAAAATTATTGTTATCATCACTTTTACTTATGTCAATTTTATGTTCATTGATCATTTTAGAAATTTACTAATTATGTTTTATAAAATGATTTTTGATTTATTATTTTAAAGATTTTGCAAATTGTTATCATTATTTAATCTTGTAATCCGTTTATCTTAATTAAAATATAAGTGCGGTTATATTTAAAAATCAAATTTAATTACTATTTGAGAAAATGATTTTTTAATTGCTTTGTTGAATATTAATTTTAAATTAAATTTTATTCACGTGCAACGCACGTGCAGTTTTACTAATAAGTAATAAATTTCATTTCACGGTTAATAAGTTTTCTTTAAAGCACTATTTCTTAAAATTACATGCTTTAGATTAAACAATGAATAAGTGATAAATATTGGAGTATTAGGTTTTTTTTTATTTTTTTATTTTTAACTTCAAATAATTTATAAATTGTATTTTCCAAAAAATCGCTAACACTATTAATACTAATTTTGTCCCAAATAGAATGTCCATTTTTTCTTTTTGGGTTGTCCAAAAATGATTGTCCACTTTCCTTTTTCAAACAATATATTTTAATCTTTCCATATATGTTCTTAGAGTTTAAAATTTCAAACTTGAATATTCAAAACTTAAAAGAGCAAGTAAAAATACATGGCACACATGTTCCCTTAAAAGTTTATAATCTCCAAAAAATGACATTCTTTTTGGACAGATGGAGTAATTAATTATTGTGTTGACTAAACATTACTAGTATTATGAGTAACATTAATAATTTAAGGGTTAAGTGCAAAAAACACCCTGTATTTTTAAAAATGTGCAAATAACACCCTTGTAGTTTCAAAATAGTGCAAATAAGGGCTTTTGACCAAGAAAATTGGCATGCGTCGTGCATGTGACCAATAATTCGCTTTTAATTTCAAAACTACCCTTTTGCACTACCCAAAATACCCCTTTGAACATACAGGGGTTTTTTTGCACACTTTTAAAAATATAAGGGGGTTTATTGAAAACATGAAAATAATTTTTAAATTTTGTTATTTTGTATATATATTACTCATTATATTCATATTTCTCTCCCTATTTATATTATATCCCTCACTTCTATATATAATACTCATATTTATATATATATATATATATATATATATATATATATATTCTTTCTCTATGTTTTGTTTTTTTTTTTGTATTAATTCATTTTCTTTCTATAAATAATCTATATATAATACACATATTATATATATATATATATATATATGAGTATTCTATATAGAAATGAGGGATATAATATATATATAAATGAGTATTATATATATATATAATACTCTTCATATTTATATTATTTCTTTCCTATCTATATTATATCCCTCATTTCTATATAGAATACTCATATATATATATATATATATATATATATATATATATATATATATTTTCTCTACGTTTTTTTTTCTTCTTATTTGTATTAATTAATTTTCTTTCTATAAATAATCTATATATAATACACCTATTATATATATATAATACTCATTATATTCATATTTATATTATTTATCTCATATTTATATTATATCCCTCATTTCTATATATAATACTCATATTTATGTATTTTATTTTATTTTTCTTTCTCTGTAATGCTTTTCTTTTCATATTTGCATTCTTTATTTATTTTTTCTCTCAATATAATATAAATTTTCTTTCTTATTTTTATTCTTTATTTATTCTCTCTCTCTCTTTCTCTAAAGATTCTATCTCTATTTATATATTAATTCCTTATATATATTATTAATTTATTACTTCATTTTAAGAATTAAATGAGTTTAATTTTTTAGTGATATATGTTAAATGATGTTTGGGACGAGAGAAATCTGAGACGAGAATGAGGGACTGCTAGCACACTCGCATACGTGTCAACGGTCTATTGGCTGCTCACTTTTTTTTGCTTTTCTTGCATTCGCACTGGATCTGTCACGACCCAAATTTTCTGATAAAATCCTCAATTTATACAAATCCAAATATATCGAAATACACCCAGGATCATAAAAAAAATGCCCTCTGTTTATACAAAAATCAGATTCCTCAAAAATTCAAAAAAATTCTCCAAATAATAAAATAAATCCTCCACGCCGGCTCTTCATCCTAAGCCCGTTTCTAGCCATCCCCGTTCATCTTCGGTACCTGAAACTGGAGGGTGGTGAGACAAAAGTCCAAGTAGAAAAAACCATAACAAAAATCTCATGGAGGTTTAATAAAATAACTTCACAAAATATACATAATCATATGAATATATA